TACTGAGCCGTGCACACACACACACACACATACACACGGGGGGGCAGTGCTGAGCTGTGCACACACACACACACACACACATACACGGGGGGGCAGTACTGAGCCGTGCACACACACACACACACACACACGGGGGGGCAGTGCTGAGCCGTGCACACACACAAACACACACACACACACACACACGGGGGGCAGTGCTGAGCCGTGCGCGCGCACACACACACACACACACACACACGGGGGGGGGCAGTGCTGAGCCGTACACACACACACATACACACGGAGGGCAGTGCTGAGCCGTGCACACACACACACACACACACACACACACGGGGTGCAGTGCTGAGCCGTGCACACACACACACACACACACACACACGGGGGGGGCAGTGCTGAGCCGTGCACACACACACACACACGGGGGGCAGTGCTGAGCCGTGCACACACACACACACACACACACAGGGGGCAGTGCTGAGCCGTGCACACACACACACACACACACACACACACGGGGGGGGCAGTGCTGAGCCGTACACACACACACACACACACACACACGGGGGGGGCAGGGCTGAGCCGTGCACACACACACACACACACACACACACACACGGGGGGCAGTGCTGAGCCGTGCGCGCGCGCACACACACACACACACACACACACACGGGGGGGCAGTGCTGAGCCGTACACACACACACACACATACACACGGGGGGCAGTGCTGAGCCGTGCACACACACACACACACACACACACGGGGCAGTGCTGAGCCGTGCGCGCACACACACACACACACACACGGGGGGGGGCAGTGTTGAGCCGTGCGCGCGCACACACACACACACACACACACACACGGGGCAGTGCTGAGCCGTACACACACACACACACACACGGGGGGCAGTGCTGAGCCGTACACACACACACACACACACACACACACACACACACGGGGGGGCAGTGCTGAGTCGTACACACACACACACACACACACACACACACGGGGCAGTGCTGAGCCGTGCGCGCACACACACACACACACACACACACACTCCATCAGATACTGAGGCTGCTGAGTGGCAATGACGCAGCTGATGCTCACACTGGGCAGCCTCACAGCCCTGGCCTTCTCCTGCCCTTCTGTGGGCCTGGGACAGCCTCCCGGGCTGGCAGCCCATCCACACACTAAACCCTGCAGGCATAGTCCCTGGGGGAGCTTGGATGAATCAGCTGGCAAGGAGGGACAGCTGCCAGCCTTCAGTCTTGGGGTCTCTACCCTGAGCGAGGGGTGAAGCTGCAGCTTCTTGCCCTGTGCACTGGGGAGCAGGGTCTGGGCCCTGCAGCAGGCCTTCCCCCCCAGCCACCTTGGGGAGCCTGGCAGTGTCCCCCACCGGCCCTGCAGGCGCCGGGCTGCGGATGTCTGCGGCTCCTGGGGGGCAGTTTCTGTCTCACACGCTGCCCTCCACGTGGCGATTCCGGCTGGAAACCCCCTGTAAAGGCCAACTTCCTCTTCCGAGGGAGTGGGCCCCCGCACCTGCTCTGAGCACACCACCCCTCCTCCAGGGGAGGCCCGGGGTCCCTGTGTCCTTGTTGAGAGCACCCTGAGAAAGCTGCCCTGTGCATGGACGGCCCTCGATGAGCAGCCTCCACTGCAGCCCCTGGGGGTCCCAGGACAGAGAGGGGGCTGTCAGCAGGGGGCCCAATCAGGGCTGGGGGAGCGGCGGTGTTCACTGGGCACCTCACCAGGGGACTCCGACTCCAGAGGCCCTGGTGGGAGCTCAGCTCAGTGACAAAGCGGCTGCCCCACTCAGACTGCTCGGCTCTGAGATGGGCAGGGCCATGACTTGGAGCAACCCCCAGGGATGAGGGACTGGGCAGGACAGGTGCCCGGGCACTGTGCAGCACACGCCCACACCCAGGGAAGCCCAGGTGGATGGGAGTCTTGGCGTTCTCACCTGCTGCCCCTCCCACGCTGTGCGACAGAAGCTTGCTCATCTGCTCACCTGCACACATCCACACCCCTGCACACCTGCCCCGACAGTGCAGCTCCTGGTGAGCCCCCAGCCGGCCCATGCTGAGCCTCCCTCCCCAGGACAGGGCTCCAGGGTGTGTGTCCTGGGCATGTCCCCCTTCCCCAGTCCACACCTGTGACTGGGAATTCACAGTGGTTCCCCGCTCACCTCTCCACTCACCAGACGGCCCTTGGGACAGTGATGTGTGGGGCTCGGCCGGCCGTGGCCGAGGGTGCTGGGGGCAGGTGGGGAGGGCAACAGGAGGCCAGTAGGACATTTTGGTAGCTTAACCCCGCGCCCATTTGGCTGTGAACCTGAACCTGCCCTGGGAGAAGTTTGCCTCGGACCAACAAGGCATTGTGTGGTCAAGCACATGGCCAAAGCCATGCCCCGAGAACTCAGCGTGTACAATGGGGCCAGCGCCAGCTCCCCAGGAGCTCCTAGTCCTAACGGACAGAGGAAAAGCTAGGGACCGCAGCCCTAGCAGACTGCATTCATCTTGCACAGATGTGTGTAACATGTGCTGTTCATGTGTGTGCACGTGCTGGACTTGCCAGGTAGTCTGACGTGGGGCTAGAGGGCACTGCAGGCCAGCTGAGGGGCCGGAGGGGAGGGCAAAGGGGTCAAGCCCAGAGGAGGTGAGTGGGCAGTGACAGGGCAGCAGCCAGAACCAGGTCTCGATCACGTCAGATGAAGTTTCTTTCAGAATCCTGAACTGAACCGCTGGACTCAGAACCCCAATCATGGAGAGAACTGCAGGTTCCGTGGTCTGTGGAGTGCATGTCAGAGCCGGGCCTCCTCGAGGCTCAGACGGAGCAGTGGGCAGCATATCCAGGTGCACATGGAGGATATGGCAGCCCATCGGAACCTGCAGAGGACACCTGGCACCACAAGAGAGGACGGAACAAATCAATCAACTACCCCAGCCAAGTGCTGGCAGTGAAAATCTGGGCAAACGGAGACTGTGTCAGCCAGTGGATTCTGGAGAGATTTCATCACGCTTGGAGTGGCGAGATGGGCAGCCATTCAGAACTGTTGGACTAGCAAAACCACTTGAGCAGGACCCCGGAGCACGCCCCATGCTGGGGACCTGGGGTGGGTGGGGCTTCTCGTTTCATCTCCCCCTTTATCCCAGAAAAAAAAGTAATAAATTGGAAACAACGGTCTTACCCACTTTCCTGTAGCCCTTGACCCTTTGTGCCCTAATCAACTATGTAAAGATGATCAAAATAAAATAATTACAAAAAAAAATTACAGACAGGGGAGAGACAGGTGGACAAGGAGGCCTCCTGAAGCTGGCCCGAGCGCAGGGGTGCAGCTAGCCAGGGTGATTCCCGTGGCTGGCCGCCCTGACCATGGATCCACTCCACCCCCTAGTGGTGGGGTCTCAGACCACAGCCCTGCTGGACGGCCTCTGGAGTGGAGCTGCCCCGCAGAAGGCTCTAGGCCTCAAGGGCTGAGCACCAACCACTGGCCAGCAGGTCTGCCCCACAGCCCAGAACAGGGCTCAGGTGGCTGCCGGGACCTGTGGGGGCTGCTAGCAGTGACCACGGGTCTAGCACCAGGAAGCACAAGCCTGCCCCCTTTGCAGCAGCCACATTTCACATAGGGAAGTCCAGGCCACGGAAGGCAGTGTGCACAGCCCAGACATGTCGGGGGCCTTTACTGCCTGTCCTCAGGATCTGCTTCCCACGGCTCATGGGACACACTGTGAAGCTGCAAATGAGTCCAGGCGGCTGCTGGCTGCTGGCCCCTGCACACCCCAGACAGCCCGGGGCTGCTCCTGAGCACATGCCCACAGCTGCTGCACCTGCTGGCTGCCAAGGGGCCAGGTTTGTGTCCTGTGCGTGCCCAGTTGTCTGCATGGGACCATGCAGAGGGACAGGTCATCAGGGTCCACAGGCTAGCAGCCCCACAGCAGCTGGCCTGAGGGCTTGTTAAGAGTATTGGTACAATGTTAGTATGTTAAAACGTTAAGAATATTAGTGTTAGGTGATATTAGGCCCTTTTGGGTGAGAAGCCACTACTTCGCTAGGTCAGAAGGCGCCTGCACTGTCGGAAAGCTCCACTTTAGTGATCAATCTGTCTCCCTTGTTTCTTTATCTGCCATCTAACCTGGGTGCAGGAAGGCAGGGGCACAGTTCCCCTGCGCCAGGGTCAGGAGGAACCATAAAAGACTGGAGGAGCCATAAAAGATAAGGGTGTCAGGATGGGATGAGCCGTAAATAATGAGTGTGAGAATGGAACAGACTGCTTGCACCTAAATTTGTTACTTTTGAGTTGACTTTGATATATGTTACAGCCAAAATGGGGTATATAATCTCCAGCCTTATGTTAAGTCAGGGTCTGATCCACTTGGCTGGCCTGTGTGCCCCAAGCACGATCTGACCCCAGCATGCTGGCACAATAAACTCTGTCTGCTTTTTGCATTACCAGCAAGACTCTTTGTTGTTTTCTGGGGGTTGACTAGCTTGCACCCTAATGTCCGGGCGGGGAGCCCTGGCCCGGACTCTAACAAGGACACCCAGCAGGCAGCGAGAAGGCTGCCCCGGGCAGGACTGTCCAGCCAGGAGAGCTGCGGGCAGAGCAGCTGGCACAGCTGCAGCTCCAGGACCTGCCAGGCTGAGAGCAGAGCATTCCTTGCACACACACGTGTGGGCAGGACAGTGACCGCTCACCTGAGGAAGCAGCAGCCATTTCCCAGCCCTGTACTGCAAGGCTGTGGGGCTGGCACCCAGGGCTCCTACCTGAGCCCTGCCCCCAGGGAGGCTGACCAAGGGCCCCTTCTGCCCAGCCCTTAGTGCTGGCAGTACAGGAACCCTCCAGGCCTGAAGACCAGAAGAACATTCCAGACCAAGGCCCGCACTGCTGCCTGAAATGCATTCTCCCCGACCACCTCCTATGCCAGCCACAGGCAGCAGGGATGGCCAGGGCTGTGCCACACAGGCACGGCCCGCACGCACTCCTGGGCAGACCAGTCCCTGCTGATTTAGGCAATTTATTCATGTGAAAAGCAGAGTGACAGAATTCAGCCCACGCATTCCCTCCAATGCTCTCAAAGCCCACGGCCGGGGCAGGGGAAGCCAGGAGCACCGTGGATGCAGGTGTGCACACGTGGCCCCTCCTGCTGCCTTTGCGGGTGAGCAGCAGGGAGCTGTGGTGCAGTGAGCAACCCGGCACTGCTGCCAGCAGCTTACCCACCGCACCACGACGCCTGCCCGGAAGGCCTTCCTTCATCCGCAAGTGCTTCTGATATTCTGATTAAGCTTGGAAAAAAACCTTTTCCCAGAGGTCCGAGCTGTGCCCTGGGGAAGGGCGGCCTGGAGCCCCGGGGCCCTCAGCTGAGGATGCCCCAGGCTGCAGCAGGCTGCCTCGCCAGCGCAGTCACTTCCGGGCGAGCTCCAGCACCCCGCGCACCATGGCGCCCACGCCGTCATAGATGTGGTGCAGTGCGGCCTCACACATGAAGGCTGGCGTCGTAACCACCTTGTTCCCCCTGTCAACATGGGCTTCGTGCGCGGAGTTAGGGACAAAGCAGCATCAAGCACAGGCCCTGTCCCCCGTCCCCCTGCCCCCGGAGCTCACCTGCCGGGTGGCCTCCACGCATGGACCCCACCTGGGGGCACAGCTCCAGGGGGAGCACCCCGGCTGGCCCTCCCCCACCCCAGCAAGGATATGGTCACGTCCTTCACGCAGTGCTTGGCGCCCAGGGCCTTCACGGCCTCTGCCGTCCCGGCGTATGGCCACCTGCCGCCCTCCTCCTGCTCGTGGCCCACCGTAACCTCCACACCTCTCAGCACCTTGGCCGCGAGCACCGGCGCGATGCAACACAGGCTGGGGGAGGGGTCAGTTCTGGACCAGGCCGCAGGGGCTCAGGCCGCCAAGGGCTGGGGGCTGCTTGCTGTGCCCCCACACCTTGGCCAGCCACACCTGCTCCGCCAGCCTCAGGTGTTCCCTGGAAGGTGCCTCAGAGCCACAGGGCACCTGAGGGAAGCGCAGGGGCCCCAGGTGCTTCCTGGCTCCCCCCTGGGGCACGACCCTGTGAGCCAGCACCCCCTGCAAGCCAACATCGGGTACCCCAGCCAGGTTGGCTGCACACAGGGGCTCTGACCCAGGACTAAGGGCACAGTGGGCGGTGACCAGCCTCAGTATGAGATCTGGGCCTGGTGGTCTTCCTCCAACAACACACCTGGGTGTGGCCCTGGATCCCCTCGCCCCAGGACCTCACTGATAACCAGGCGGTTCAGATTCTTCCTGTCACCACCTGGACATGTGGGGACCCAGGACAGGGGAACCAAGCAGGAGGCCACACAGGGATCCGCATGACATGTGGCCAGGGGAACCCCCCAGGCGGAAGTAGTAGAGGGTCCGCTACACACCCGATGGGCTTCCCGGCTTCGTGGAACTCCTTCAGCACCCGCTCCACGTCACGGTGGACCCTGCAGTCCTTGCCGTCCACAGCAAACGTGCTCCTGTGGTGGTGGTGGGGAGAGGCAGACGCGATGCCCCACAGCTCCAGGGAGCGGTGGCCAGGGGCGCGTGGGTGGCCTCCACGATCCCCTCAATCAGACCGGGCAGAGCCTGGCTGATACGCACGAGGGGTCGGCGCCCACAGCCCCGTGCCAGGTGCTTAGCTTGACCTCAGCCAAGGATGCCTGGAGGGCACGGAGGTGCCAAAACCAGAGTCACACACCCAATGTCAATCACACCGCCAAGAGCGCTGGGAGCTGCCCAGAGGGCGAGATGGACATGTCCCAGGCACTCTGCAGGCACCCCAAGCCGGCTCCAGCCACCCATTAGAGCAGACAGGACCTGGCATTTGGGGTGCGGCCACCTTCCACTGGCACACACAGGTGAAGGGAGGAGACCCTGCAGCACCCCCAAGGGAGTGTGAGCTGGACCCCCCTCCACTGTGCCCTGCTCTCCAAACCAGCCCACCACCCCATTCCATGCCAGGCATGGACAGCATAGCAAGCCAGCTCCCACTCCCCCCAAATGAGCACTGTGCCTGCCCGGGATCAGCGTCCAGCTGCCATGGCCATTCTCCAGCCAGCTGCAGCAGGGGGAGCAGGAGGGAAGGGAGGGTGCGGGGGCTCCAGCTGAGGCTGCGGCCGGTTCAGCTCTGGGGGCAGGACAAGAGGCTGTGGCCAGCGGCACTGCCTAGGACTGCCAGCACTTTCCGGAAGCCTCGGCAGCCCACATTCAGCCCCACAGGGCAGAAGGAGCAGGCGACCCTGGTGATGCCAGTGGGAGTGTCCTGAGGGGAGCAGGGCCCCCAGGGGCAGCTGCACCACCCTGAATCCCCCACCTGAGGCCCCGGAGACCCATGGGACACAGGTGAAAAGCAGTGCTGAGCACTCAGGGCTGAGGACAGCCAAGGCACCAGGGCTCAGCACCCGTTACCACGGTAACAGCCCTTCCTGCCCAGAGTTCTCGAGAACCGGCCACCAGCAGCACAACCCTGGTGGCCAGGGACGCAGGAGGCCCTACCCCCAGCTGAGCTCAGAAAAGGCTCAGTTCACGGCTCCCACAGCAGCTCCCACATGCAAGCACAGCCCTGGGAGATCCTGCCCAGTCCCAGCCCCGGGAGGCGGGCACTCCGGGCACGCACAGGTTCTTGGCGGCACCAAAGCCTCCGGGGAAGATGACGGCGGCGTGGTCGGCTGCGCGGAGCTGGGCCAGGTCAGTGATCTTGCCCCGGGCGATCCTCGCAGATTCCCTCAGGACGTTTCTGGGGAGGAAGCCAGGGCTGGTGACGGGGCAGGGCAGGGGCCAGGCTGCCCCTACAGGACACGCCCTACACACATGCACAGCCCACAGCCAGGCCAGGACACTTTCGGGACCAATGCTTCCACGATAGCACTTGGTGTCACTCCAAAGATTCCAGCAACCCCAAGTCTTACACTGCAGTGGTTCAGAGCTTATGTGAACTCCCCAGGAACTCCCCAGAGCCCAGGGACACGGCTGGGTAGAGCACCATGCAGGAGGTGCAGTCACCGCCTGCGACAGAGGCAGCGCACGCAGGCACTGTGTCCAGTCCCGGCTGCCCCGCTACCCATCCAGCTCCCTGCCTGTGTCCTGGAAAAGCAGTCGAGGACAGCCCACAGCCTTGGGACCCTGCACCCGCGTGGGAGACCCTGAAGAAGCTCGTGGCTCCCGAGAGGGCAGCCTTGGCTGTTGCAGCCATCTCAGGACCACACCAGTGGGTGGAGACTGTTTGTCTCTGAGCCTTCAAGTGCAAATACAGACATTTTAACAAGTGGATAGTCACACGTCAGGCCTCGGGCAGCGGGAAGCCACCAAGGATCAGCCACACAGGACAGCGGGCACAGTCAAGGGGGAGAGCAGGCGACGGCTCCAGCCAGGCCAGGACACCCACAGGCTGCTGGCTACCACTGCAGTGCTCAAAGAGCCCCAGCCAGGGAGGGTGGCTGGGCCCATGGCACCAAGTCTGGCAAGAACCCGGGCACAGGGGGCGCAGCCCCACCTGGTCTCGCTCTCGGCAGGCTGCCCCTTGGTGTGGTCGATCACATGCAGTTGAGGGACGTCAGGAGCAAAGAGCTGGACCTCGGCTCCGCCGCGGCTCAGGTGCACCAGGACCCTACGCCAGAGAATCGGGGTGCCCATCGCACGGCGTCACCACCGAGCAGATGTTCATGCAGATGCCCCGGGATAGGATTTCAACCACATGCCAGGGCCAGCTCCTAGCGTGTGCCAACACTTGGCTACCTGCCAAGGACGCCGATGCCCACAACTCCGACAGTTACATGGCCAGCCGTGGAGACCTGGCGTACTCAAACACCCTGAACACACACCCACCCTGCCCAGGCCGGTCACTGTCATCAGCTCTTTGTCCTCAAGCCTGGAACTCTGCCCCTTGCCAGCCACGGCAGGCACCCCGAGGCCGGCAGGACAGACCGTGGCTGCTCGGAGCTACGGGTTTCCCAGGGCCTGTGCATGTGGTGGTAAGCGGGGGCTGCTGACAGACTCTGCCAGCCGACGCTCACAACAGACACACTGCTGCCATTACAGCCCATCACCCTTTGCCCTGTCCGAGGGCCAGGGGCGCGGGCAGCTCCCAGCACACCTCAGGGAGGTGAGAGTGCACACGCAGGCTTCCTGCCCCCGGGGGGGGGGGGACACGGATGGGACTTCCAGCTCCTGGCTTTGCACCCCCATCGCAGCACTCAGGAAGTGGATCCACGAGGAAGACCCCTGCAGCACGCGGGCGGTACAGGCGTCCCCGCCAGGACCCAGGCGCACACCAGGCGCCCAGTCCACGCGAAGCGGCTCCGAAGCGGCTGCTGAGCGGGGCAGTGACCAGTGAGCCGTCCCACCCAGGGCAAAGCCTTGAAAACACACACAACAGGTACACGGCAGCGGGCCACCGAGGCTGGGCGAGGACTCACGCGGACGCTTCGTGGATCTCGGTCCCGTCGTAGACTCCACAGCCAGACAGCACCTGCGGGAGGAACGGGGGCTGAGCCAGGCAGTGGGGCTGACCGGAGACCCTGACCCTCGGGGGCGGCGGGGCTGAGCGGGGACCCTGACCCTCGGGGACAACGGGGCTGAGCGGGGACCCTGACCCTCGGGGGCGGCGGGGCTGAGCGGGGACCCTGACCCTCGGGGGCGGCGGGGACTGGACTGACCGGGGAGGCGACCCCGGCCCGCGAGCACTTACCACCGCGACCCGAGGCCCGGCGCGCGGCGCGGAGCCGTGAAGGGCCGCTCGTGGAGATGGCAGCGGCCGCAGGCGGCCCGAAGCGGACAGGAATGCGGAAGCCACCCACCTCGACGCCATCAGGGCTCTGACGCCCGCCATGGCGGCGCGGGACACCGCGACCTAAGGGTCACCCGCGTAGGCAGCGGGAAGGGACCGCGGGATGGAGGACGGGCGGCGCCTGCGCAGAGCCGCCGTGAGGCCTTCCCCGCCCCGGCGACGTCCCACCTCGTGAGCGTGCGGCGCCTGCGCAGTCGCTGAAGGACGCCGGCTCCGCCCCCAGCGCCCTTTCCCGTGGTGGGTGGAGCCGCGCCTGCGCGTCGACGCCATGGATACCGTGGACGCCATGGATACCGTGGACGCCAGGCTGCTGGGCCCCGCGGGCGCTCGCCTGGAGTCCCCGCTCCAGGGACGCTGCCTGGCGGCGCGTCGCCGTACACAGCCACAGCCCAAACAGGCCAAGGTGGGGGGTCAGTGTGGCAGGTGACACCGGGTGACCCCACGGGAAACTTCGTGGCCCCTCCTTGCCCCAGGGGTGGGGTGCACCCCAGACAGCTCACCCTGACCTGCAGTCGGGGCGGGGCCTGCACCTCAGGGACATGCCAGAAACCCTCAATCCTGACTCCAGCAGAACTTTATTACAAATATAAATAGCTCTGTACAAAACACCCGTGCCCACAGCCAGGCGTGGGGAGCGGCTGGGGGGGATCCCGCCCCATGGGCCACCCAGCCCTCCACGCGGTTGGGGAGAAGCCTACACTGCCCCCCCACCAGCTCCAGCCAGCAGGTGCAGGTCCTCGTCCTCGTCCTCGCCGTCCTCACTGCCCAGTGCCGCCAAGCTGCGCTTCAGGCCCCGCTGCTGGGAAAGCGCCAGAGCGTACTGCATGTTGTAGCGGTTCCAGTCACAGCTGCACGGACACACGGGCAGTTAGCACAGGGCACAGAGCCCAGGGACAGCACCCGGGGGCACCCGCGGGCACGTACAGCTTGGCGAGGTCGTCGCGGTGCCGCTGGAGGCCCTTCTGTAGGAACTGCACGGTGGGCAGCAGCGTCCCTGCCCTTGGCGAGAAGGGGCCCGTTAGCACCTCATGTGGGGACACACTGTCCCATCCCTGGCCCCTCGGCACACCCTCACTACCTGGCCTTGAGCTTGTGCCCATGCCGCAGGAGCAGCCTCTGTGTCCACAGCAGGTAGAACTCGAGGTGGCGGGATGTCTCCATGGAAGCAGCCAGGAACTCCAGAACTTTCTCCACGTACAGCTCAGGCAGTGAGGCGCCCACCACCTCAACTGCAGCAGGAAGGCAGCGAGTTCTGGGTTCTCAGGCACACCCCCGCCCACCCACTCACTCTCCTCCCGCGGCACCCCTGCCCGCCCACTCACTTACTGTGGTCCCGCGGCACCCCTGCCCGCCCACTCACTCTCCTCCCGCGGCACCCCTGCCCGCCCACTCACTTACTGTGGTCCCACGGCACCCCTGCCCGCCCACTCACTGTGGTCCCACAGCACCCCTGCCCGCCCACTCACTCACTCTCCTCCCGCGGCACGGCTTCCAAGGCCTCCTGCACCAGCTTGTGTTCGTTCAGCCGCAGGGCCAGGAGGATGGCACGGGTGAACTCACGCTGGCGCAGGGCTTCGCGGACGCGCCCTGGGGTGACACTCGTGTCCAGCTCAAAGGGGTCGAATAGTATCTGCGAGTCCAGGGAGTAGATAAGCAGGCCCTCGGTGGTGGTGGCCGCCCAGCAGCGCCCTGGAGACCGAGCAGTTGGGGTGAAGATCCAGGCCACAGGGCCCATGGCGCCCAAGTTCAGGGGGATCAGTGGCTGCCGCCTAGCCTGACCCCCAGTGCTCCCCAGTGCACCCGTGTGTCACACAGGAAGCCGCACACGCTCCCAGGAGGGGCAGGCTCCGTGGGAGAGCATTTGGCCACAGGGCCCACCATGCCCGGCCCCACCCCGGGAGTGGAGCTCACCGGTCGGAGAGAAGCGGAGCGAAGTCACCCGGATCTCAGGCTTGAAGTGCCGAGAACTCATGTCCCCTGGGAAGAGGAAGCTTGCTAGGTGAAACTCACCCCAGGCCGTCCCCAGCCCCACTGCCCGCCTAGCAGCCTCCCTACCGGCCACAGGGCCCGGGCGCAGCAGTACCCATCCGCCCCAGTGAGGCCCTGCCCACCTTTCCTCACTCCGGGCAGTGGCACTGCCACGCCATCCTCCTCCCCGGCGTCCTGATCAATGAGTGCCAGGTTGCCAAACTCCGTCATCTTCCTCCGGTTCAGAAACTCCTAGGCACAGGAGTGGCAGGGCTTCACCCACATTCTAGCTCGCTGGCCACCCAGCCCAGCCTGGGACAACCGGATGCACACTCCTAGGGAACTTGGAGGGCTGGGGCTTCTGAACCCTGAACTGTGGTGGGGGCCCAGGCGGACGGGCACAGTATAGCCTGCACCAGACGGGCAGGCAGGCAGCTGCCAGGACAGGACTGTCCACCGGCCTGAGCTCACCTCCATGGCGTCCAGGGACAGGTTGCTGGAGATTTCAAACTTCTTCATGAGGATCTGCTCCCTGACGTGATAGATGCATACAAACTTGGACATGCCTCCCGCCAGGATGCTCTGGCCGTCCGCCGAGTAGCAGAGCGTGGTGAAAGACCTGGGCCAGAGACACAGGCTCAGAACCCCAGCCAGAGGCCCACGGTGTCGGCCCTGGGCACCCATAGCCCCCTGCAAATCTCTTGGTCATGGACAGCCTGTAGGGTCCTGCAGCCTGCAGCCTGGACGGGGTCCTGCAGCCCCCTTGTCCTGTGGAGCCAGGCGCCAGGCCCTCACCGCCTTGGGCCACACGCCCAGGCAGAGTGCGTAACTCAGGACAAAGCCACAGCCCCAGGAGGACTGGGGCTGTCCTCTGGCTGTGTCCTAGACACAGGAGGACTGAGAGCACAGAGCAGCTGTGGAAAAGCACAGGGTTCTGGGAGACCAACACCAACGGACCCAGATCCATGGGCACAGCTCCGCCCCACCTGAGAAGCAGGGTGCTTGGGGAGAAGCAGCCACAGATGCAGGAATGCACTCAGACCCCAACAACAGCCAAGGACAGGCATCTTGGGGATCTGTGTGCCCTGGAGGCTGAGCAGGAGGGCCTGGTCCTGCCCAGGATGTGCAGTCTGGGTCAGGGTACTGGCATGACTAAAATCCCAACTCTCATAGGGGTTGAGGGCAGTGGAGCCCCATGACAGCTCTGCCCGGAGTTCAGGTGTGGCCCTGAGCAGGGGGCTTGGACATCCGTGGCAGTGGTGGCACAGCACCCTGCAGAGCCCACACTCACTTGCCCTTGGCAGAGTGCTTGGCGGTGATCTTGTCCAGCTCCTTCCTGCCCGTCTTGAGGTCGTGTCTACCTTCGATGGAGCCCCTCTGCACGGCGTTCTCCGGGTCCCAGAAAGTGATGTGCGAATTTAGCGTGGCCACAGCCAGCTCTGCCCCATCAGGGCGGAAAGTCACGGCTAGAGCTGATGAGAGACGCGAGCTCAGGCCCCAGGCCGTGCCACTGCTGGCCTCCACGTGGCCATGGCCATGGTACCAGTTGGGCAGAGCTTGGGACCAAGCTGGTTGATGGTATGGTGTGGCCCAGGCAGAAGGAGTTAGGGTAATAAGGAGAATCCAAAAGGGGACAGCAGAGGTGGTCCGGGGCCTGCCGGACAGAGCACTGACCGCCTGGGACAGCAGGAGAGGGGACCTGTGGCTCTTGGGCCGGCAGGCTGTCTGAGTCCCAGGGTGACAGCCCACGGCCACAACAGAGCCATCTCATGTTCCCAGGGCGGATCAGCGTGCTGTCCCCCAGCACTGCCAGCCTCGGGCACCGGGACAGCAGCCTGCACGCTGCGTCATTCCTCCCAGCCTTCAGGCTCCGGACCACATGCGGCCAAGGCAGGAGTACGTGCCTGTGCGGGGTGTGTGTGTGCACACACTAGGTGGGGTGTGTATTTGTGTGTGTGTACACGCCACATGGCTCACCATCAGAGGTCAGGGCCAGCGTCTCTTTGGTCCTCCAGCTGTCGTACATGTCCCACAGGCGGACTGTCTTGTCCCAGGAGGCGCTGGCCAGGATCGACTTCATTGGGTTGAAACACAGGCCACTGATGGGCCCCTCGTGCCCAGACAAAACCTACAGCAGCGTGGGGAGCAGGGCTGAGGGGCTGGCCTGGACACCCGAGGCCTGGGGGCAGCCTCAGTTTGGGGAGGACCCTCCTGTCCACCCGGCCCCCCAAGCAAGGTGGCTGTGCTGGGGGGGGTGGTCCTTACGTCCAGGAGCCTGCCTGTCTGCATGGACCACACGAAGATCTCGAAGGAGTCCTGGGCCCCTGCACACACAATCTCCCCACTTGAGTCCACGGCCACGCAAGAAAACTGAGTGGGACGTGGGGACGTCAGTGTGCGGAAGTTACGGTACCTGCAGAAGGAGCAGAGGCCAGCGTCACAGTGGGCCCACACTCGCCTGCAGGCCAGCATCACGGGGGCCCACTGTGCAAGGGGGCCGTGCTCGCCTGCAGGCCAGCGTCACAGTGGGCCCACTGTGCAAGGGGGCCATGCTCGCCTGCAGGCCAGCGTCACAGGGGGCCACTGTGCAAGGGGGCCGTGCTCGCCTGCAGGCCAGCGTCACAGGAGGCCCACCGTGCAAGGGGGCCATGCTCGCCTGCAGGCCAGCGTCACAGTGGGCCCACTGTGGAAGGGGGCCGTGCTCGCCTGCAGGCCAGCGTCACAGCGGGCTGATGCCCACCTTCCCCAGACCCCTACCATGTCAGGGGAGCCATCACCTATGCAGGTCGAATGCACGCACAGTGCCATCCATGGATGAGGTCACGATGACATAACCAGTGGCTGTGAAGGTGACCCCGGTGACACCGCTGGAATGCTCCGTGAAGGTGACAAAGCAGAAGCCACTGAGGGTGTTCCACACCTTGACCTGCAGGCAGGCATGAAGGAGCGGTGAGAAGCAAGTGGGGTGAGCCCAGGACCCCTGACCGTGGACGCGCAGGAGCCCACCTTGCCGTCGTCCCCACCGGTGACGATGTACTGGCCGTCGGGGGAGTAGGCCAGCGACACCATGCTGTTGAAGTGGCCTTGCTGCTTCAGGATGTATGACTCGCTCTGCCACTCCCACACCAGCAGCTGGCCCAGTCCTGTGC